CTCCCACTCAGTCCATTTGTATCCCCACTAATTCCATTTAGTACACTCTTTTTTTCTACAAATCAGCTTGTGGTTCAGAAGTCTACCATTATATGATGGGACTTTTTAATTACTGTCCTCAAAACACTGGAATCACTCCATGAGAAAGTGCTAAGACCCAATGAATACTCAATCTCACCTGTGAGTCGCCTTAATCCTTAATGTCCTTGAGATACCTAAATCAAAATTTAATTTGTATGTCTTATATGTACATATACACACATACATGTTGTCTCTTCTATTAAAATGTAAGCTCCTTGACGTGAGGACAATTTTGATTTTGTCTTTGTATCTTCAGTGTTTATCACAGTGCCTGACATATATAGTAGGTACTTAATAAATTCTTATTAATTGATTACTAATCCCATCAGGGTCTGGGCAACTTGTGAGACTGAAATAATAATGATGATGAACATTTTTTTTCTTCCTTTTTTTTTTTTTTTTTGGTGTGGAGGTACTAGGCAATAGGGTTAAATGACTTGCCCAGGGTCACACAGCTAACACGTGAGGTCAGATTTGAACTCAGGTCCACCTAACTCCAATGCTGATGCTCCATCCACTGCACCACCTAGCTACCCCAATGATGAACATTCATTAAGTGCATTCAATGAATTAGGTCTTGGTGTTCTCTAAGAAAAAAAAAATGAAGCAATCCCTCCCCTGGAGGAGCTCACATTCTACTGGACAGAAAATAAAATAATTTCCTAAAGTCCTTGAATTACTTTGATCTATTAGTTCCTTATTCCCCCAACCACAAACCCTTTTTCCTTGTTTTCCAGCTCCAGCTAGAGATAACCACCACCACTACTACCATTTCTAAAAAATTTATCAACCAGATCTTTAAAACTCATTCATCAATGCCTACACCCACACAATAAATGGTAGTGAGGTGTTACAAAGCAGTTACTTTAATGAGAAAAAAAAAGGGAAACATGTTGTAACTTCTAGTAGCCACTATAGTAAATTTGAGATTCTTTTAAATAAAAATCTCAGGGCTCCTGTTGGAAAAATAGACCATCCTCAAATATTCCTCCAAATCAACAAACAAACTGATTGAAGGTACTCATATCTCTCGAGCAACCTCTGCCCTTCTTTGATTGGAGGGCAGGGATGTGGGCCCTAGAGTCTCTAAAAAGGGGGCTCAGCACATTCTCCCCCTGAGCCATCCCCCCACATTTTCCACCAGCTTCACTGCTTTTGGATCTTTTTGGTACTCTCCATCATGCTCCTGTGTCAGGTACCTTCTCTCCTCTCACCACCTCCTCTTTGAAGCTTCCTTTTGTGTGCTATCTTCCCCCATCAGATTGTAAATTCCTTGAGATCAGGGACTGTCTTTGTTTTTATTTGTGTTTGTATCCCCAGCTTTTAGCACAGTACCTGGCACATAGTAGGCACTTAATAAATGTTTGCCTTACTCATCTCCCCACTGGCTAATCTTTCTCAGCTCCAAATAAATACCTAAAAGAGGGACAAAGGCAAGAAGGAAAAGAGTAAGAAAATGCTTGTGCCATCCAAACATTTTGTACTGGCCTGGTCTGACATCTTGGCATTGATGACAATAGTCTGGATGTGACCAGAAAGTCAGTGCTTAAAAAAAAGAAAAATAAATGATATTATCAGATTTCAGCTTAGCTCCTGATTAACTGAAGGAATATCTGAAGTCTTGGGAAGCATGGTGTAAATAATAATGGACTTAGCTTTCACAGAACTGGGTTTGAATCACAGAAGTAGGGGGATGGAAATGGGGGAAATGTAGATAATCTAAATGATATTGTTATATTATACACACACACACACACACCTATTAAAAAAACCTCTCTATGAGACTGTTCCCTATGGCAGGGGAAGGGTAAGAGGAGTTTTTAAAATAGAGTTAGGCATTATGCCTGAGAGAAGAGAAACAGTAGATCTTTCAGTGGGTGGAAGACCCATGTGCTGAGACTAGAAAAATGAATCTGAATCATCTCCTGCCCCATTTCCATGCCCAAGTAGTAGAGTAACATGACATGTGGTTCCTTTCTTTCTTAGGTCCCTTTTTTAGATGAAAGAACTGATTCCTTTCTGATCTCTGGAAAGAATAATAATGGCTGATGTTTATAAAGTACTTTAGGGTTGCAAAGGCTTTTACTTAACGTTTTTGGTCTTTACAGCAACCCTGTAAGTCTGGAAGAGTCTGATGGTGTGGAAATGGAGAGGGAGGAGTGGAGTCATACAGAAATGAACCAGAAAGAATCAGCAGCCCAGGAGCAACCAACAAAAGGAGAAAAAGAAAATAGAATTGAATTGTGGCAGAGATGAGACATTGAGGAAGGCCATTTGCCCTTCAGACATATCAGTTCAGAAGATTCAGGCTGACATCACCAGTTGTACCCACCTACTGAAAAACTAAGAGAAATTCTAAGACAAAGGACTGCTCTTTTTCCTATATCCCCTCCCGGGCCCTATGGATAATCTACTTCTTTATTATCCAAGTAGATTAGGCAGCTTAAATCTTGCCTCAAAGAGGTCAAGGGTTAGATATAATTAGAGAAAGATGTAAATGTAAATTAAAGCAGAGAGCCAAACTTCTGCATAAATGTTAGGAATTTTCCTGACTGGGGGTTCAGAGTAATTGTGATTATACTCACAACTTTTCATCTAAAATAAATTCCCTAGAGCTGCAGAGGAGGAACCATATGGACTTTAGAGGCCATTAGATTGTCCCCAGTCTTAAAATGAAGTGATTACTGTAACCAGATGGTTCAATGCTGTGAGCCAGAAAATATTATTATTATCCCCATTTTATAGATTAAGACCATAGGGCTCAGAAACGTGAAGCAACTTGCCATGGTCACACAACTAGTAAGTGTCAGAGACACAATTTCAACCTGGGTGTCCCATGAATTTAAGTACAGCATGGTTTCCACTACACCATGTTGTTGGGAGAGGCAGGTTAAGAGGTGAAATTTCAAGATAGACAAAGTTTATTTTTGGCATTCTTGGTCTTGATTTTGTCTGCGCTGTCCCCCTCCCCCAACATGCATCTGATATATTTTAGGACACTTACTAGTACATTCTGGATCCCTGGGGAGAGCTAGTAGCCTAAACTTTCCTGGGTTATTTGGATCCAGGAATCTTTAACACACATCTATTTATACCTGAGCAACCTTGGCCAATTTATTTAATTTCTCTGGGCCTCAGTTTTCTCATGTGTAAAATGAGGGGGGTTGGAAAAAATAGATTCTAAAGTACTTTCAATTTCTAAATCTATGCTCTTATGATTCTATGATCCAATGATTACTTCCTTCTTCAAACTTTATCCCACATCTTTGGAGATTGCCAATGCCTCTCAGAAGGAGCAATAATATAATGCAATGAAGCCAGATGTTCATGCATTGGAAGAATAATTTGTTGTGTATCCAAGGACCCATTAATTTATAATTTAATCAATGTGTATTTTGTAAATAAAGGTTTTAATAAGGATGTTCATTCTAACACAGTTTTTTTATGTTTATGTTTCCTTTAAAAATTAAACAAAGTTTTTGACTTTTGCTCAGAGGTCCCAATTTTTCTTAGTTTTAATGCATAAATCCACTGAACTTCAAGTTATAGTGAGGGAGGCAACTTGGTTCAGTAGAAAATTCATTATACTGGGTGTCAGAATATCTGGGTTCCAGTCCTGATTCTACCACTTATTAGCTGTGCTGTGGAAAATCTCTTATTCTCTTTGGGTCTCAGCTTTTTTTTTTAATCATTAAATGAGATTTGCCTCAATGATCTCTAATGTACTTTATAGGACTATGGTTCAATGTTGTTTTGTTGTTTTTTTTTTCAATTTTCTTTGCATAGCTCAGGATCCGGCTGTACCTTTAAGATAGACCTTTAATGGTAAAATGTCATTAAAGATTAATTAATTTTGTTGTATCATTTCAGCCATGCTCAACTCTTTGTGACCCCATTTGGGGTTTTCTTGGCAAAGACACTGGAGTGGTTTATCATTTCTTTCTTCAGCTCATTTTACAGGTGAGGAAACCAAGGCAAACAGGGTTAAGTTACTTGCCCAGAGTCACATGGCTAGTAAGTGTCTAAGGCTGGATTTGAACTCAGGTCTTCCTGACTCAAGGTCCAGTGCTCTATTTACTGCACCATGTAGCTGCCCATTAGTTGAATTTAACTGAGGATATTTAGCTTGGAGAAGAGAAGATTTGGGGAGTGTAGGGTCAATATTTTCAAATGTTTGGAGGGTTGTCATACAAAACAGGGATTAGATTTGTTCTTTGGCCTTTGACAAATCACTTAAATTCTCCAAGCCTCAGTTTCCACATCTGTAAAGTGAGAGGATTGGATTAGACAGCCTCTAAGATCTTTTCCAGTTCTACCTATGATCCTATGAGCTTAAATTACAAGGAGAGATATTTCAGATCAACACAAGAAAAAATTCTTTAACTATGAGGGTGTTCGTAAAGTGGAATGGTTGGCTAGGAGAAGTAGTGAGTCCTCTGGCACTAGAGGTCTTCAAGTAGGTGATGAATGACCACTTGTTCAAGATGTTGTTGATGGAATTTATGCTTTTGCTAGGTGTTGAACTAGAACTAGATGGATTGTCGCACCAAGTGGGACTTTAGAGATCATCTAGGCAAACTTTATTTTACAAATGAAAAAACCTGAAGCCCGGAGAGATTAAGAGCAGTAAAACACCCTTCCTACTCAGAAGTTTTATGATTCTACCATTATAGAGCTTTCTCTTCATCCCCTATGTAGGAGCACTTGAATGTCCAACACAAAAATCTTAAATTAATGTGCCATAGAATACAACGCTGAGTTGCCCCTACTAAACATTTATTTAACCAAATAGATACCACAAGCTTCTCTTCATTGCATCAATGATGGTTACAAATGCATGAGCCACAGGTTGTGGTTGGGTTTTTTTTATTTTTTTTTTCCATTGAACTTGAATAAACATGAAAATGAAGGCAAGGTCTTCATGCAAGTGCATATTCAAAAGTTCCTTTGTCAAACTCTTCCACTTCATCTTCCCAAGTAGAGGAAGGCATGCTACTGTAGGGATCCAGCAGGATTTTGAAGCATCTGATAATCAGAAGGCCCAAGAAAATGCACAGAATCCCCACAAATGCAAAGCCTGTTTTTTGTTCCAATGTCAATGAGAAAGCTGGAACTTTGTTGACACTCATGCTGGCTGGTCCGTTGCTATGGTGAATGCTACTCATTATTTACTACCACATCATTGGAATTCTTCAGGATTCCTGTTTGTGTCATATCTTGGCCTACACACACAAAAATATAGTCAGTTTACTTACAATCATATTCTCTACAATGTAGTCATTAAAATAGAAAACTGTAAAAAAAAAAGAAACAAAAAAGAAAAAAGCTTCCCATCTTTAAATTCTTTTGGCATGAAATATAAAAAGTCATTATACACAAAGACTGATACTGATCAGAAATCTTATCAAATAATAATTTATTTTGTGCAATGATAATAATAGACTATAACACACTAGAATACAATGTGATGTGATACAAAAATGTATGATATTACTATCTACCCAATACTATAATATAATATAATGTAATTTATAATGACTGATCATTTTGATTGAATTTTGTCAAAGTGCTCAATTTAATCATGGTCTATCTAGTTTATTTGCTTGTTTATTTCTTTATCTATACCTTTATTCATTTATTCATTTGTTTATTGCCCCTGGAGCTATAGCTATATGAAGCTAAAAACAACTAATTAATTAGGTAGAAAAAATCATTAAACTGGTTAAACTAGTTATTTGACATTAGGTGAACTAAAACACCCAATGTGTTAAGTGAACATTTTTGCCTTAATCAACAAGCATTTATTAAATGTCTACTCTGTAATAGACACTGTGCTAAAAACTTAAAAATGAAAGTCTGCCCTCAAGGAGCTTCCATTCTAAAGGGAGAGATTTTATCTGTATTATGTATATTGTGTATTATGTATAAAGTGAGTATATACAGAATGCAAATTGATTTGGGAGGAGAGGCACTAGCCATTGCGGGATCTGAAAAGGCTTCACAAAGGAGGTGGCATGATAGCTGAGCTTAGAACAAAACTAGGTAGTCTTAAGTGTTAGAGGTGAAGAAGGAGTGTGTTCTAAGCATAAAGGGGAGAGCCAGCACAAAGACATGGAAAGAGAAGATGGAAAGCAATGTGAAGAAGAGAAAGAAGGCCAATTTGATTGGGCGATAGAGTATGTGAAGGGAAATAATGTATTTTAAGCCTGGAGAAGTACATTGGAGCCAGATTGTAAAAGGTCAGACAGAAGGGTTTATATTTTATCTTAGAGGTAATAATGGATTCAGCAGAACTGAGTATATTTATAAGAGCATAGGAATAACACTGGTTAGAAATACCCCTTTGGCAGCTGTGTGTGGGCTCCTTTATTTGAATGTGACCTTCCTGACAACACAGGATATGTATTTGCCTTTCTTTTTATTCCCAGCATTTAGCACAGTTCCAAACACTTAGCATGTACTTAATAAATACTTGCTGATTCAATGACTGAAAGGTGGATTGAAGACCCTAGAAATTTGAGGCAGAGAGACCAATTAACTTGAACTGGAGTGGTGGCTGGGGGTGTGGAAAGAAGGGGAAAGATATGAAAAAATGTGGAAGTAGAATTAATTTGAAGACCGATTGGCTGTGTGAGATGAGGGGGAGTGAGGAAGCAAGGATCGCACTGAGACTGTGAACCTAGGATGACTGAAAGGAAAGCAGTGCCCTTGACAAAAAAGTTGGGCAAGGAGTAGGTTTTGGAGAAAAGACAATGAGTTCTATTTTGGACAAGTTGAGTTTGAGATGTTTATGGGGCAGACAATTTTAAATGTCCAAGAGACAGTTGGTGATACAGAAATGAGGCTCAGGAGAAGCAAGGGATAGATATATAGATTCAGGAGTCATAGAGATGATCATTGAGCCCATGGGAGCTAATGAGACTAGAGAGAAGGAGGGGGAGACAGAGAGAGAGACAGAGACAGAGACAGACAGACAGAGACAGAGAGACAGAGACAGAGAGAGAGAATACTTTCTGTACTTTCTACAAGCTGTGTTGCTGTCCTAATGGACAGCCTAACTGGACTTGTTTGGTTGAATTGGCTAAATAGAACAGTTATTTTGGCCTCATGCTGACACAGCCCCTGAAAGTTAAGCGAATTACCTAGATTACAGTTTGTCATGGGGGATACTGAAATCTGCTTGTTTTTGTTCCAATGTTATTCTAATCCACTAGACTGCAGTGTTCCCTTAGATAAAATCAGCACCACTGAAATAGTCACATTATTCAGTGACACCAGAATATGAAGCACAGGACATTTCTTAAAGTGAAACAATTTCTCCCTGGAATCCAAATGCAAGGTCCTTTATATTCCAGCCTCAAATTTACCTGTAATATAACCAAGTAGAGTGGTTTTCTCTTGAACTCCTCAGGAAGCTACAAATTACAGTAGTTACTCAGTACCTTGGAAGGAAAGTGCACTGAATTTACGAGCATATAATTTGTGATGAAGTTTTGGTTTTGAAAAAGTCAAATATTTTCAACAATAACTAGCAAATAGGGAAAATAAAATCAGTTCAAATAAGAGTAATGTGAAAATTTATTTGTATCTTAGACTAAGAACCAACCTTAAAAAAGCATCAAGTGTCAAAAAGCATACCAATCCACCCAGATTTTAATGAGCTTTTTTGTTTGTTTGTTTGTTTTCATAGAGATATGCAATTAGTAAAGGAATTAAATCAGCATTCTTTTCTACTAGCCTGGAGTATATTTTTACTCACCTTGGGTGAGTAGGCAAATGGCTATTTCATTCCTGTTCACCACCATGTAAACCTACTATTTTACTTCTAAACAAATGTACAAAGGATGAAAAAGGGAGCATACAACCAAGGTCAAATACAGAAGAGTAATATAAATCATTAAGAATGGTGAGGCAGCATGGCCTAACTCCTGGATTCTCTGGCTTTCTTCAAGTCTCAACTTGTACAAGAAACCTTTCTGCTCCTCCTTAAATTTAGTTCCTTTCCTCTGAGTTTGAGTTCTAGGTGTGCAATCAGGAAAACATAAGTTCAGATCCCATCCCTGACACACAATGTGACTACAGGCAAGTCACTTACTCTTTGTAGACCACATTTTCTCATCTGTAAATTGGGGATCATGGACAGTATCTATCCCATAGCATTTTTAGGAAGCTCAAATGAGATAATCTATGTAAAATGCTATATAAATTATATAAATTATTAGTGGCCTCACTGCTTAAAGCTTAAGTGAACTGAGCCTAGCAGGGGGGAATCTCCTACAAAGATGGCTTTTTAAGCTGTTCTAGAATGAGATACTCCATCTCTCGACTCTGGACATCTCCACTGGTTGCTCCCCACTTGCCTGGAATCTTCTTGCTCCTCATCTCCATGACCTTGCTTCCCTATCCTCCTTCCAGTCCCGGCTAAAATCTCATCTTCTGCAAGAGCTTTTTCTGATCCCCCTTTATGCTAGTGCCTTCCCTTTGTGATTATCTCTGATTTGTCTTGGTTTTATCTTGTTTGTAAGTAGTTGTTTGCACGTTGTCCTCTACTAGACTGTGGGCTCCTAGAGAGCAAGACTGATTTGATTTGGTTTGGTTTTGCCTTTTTTTATATCCCAAGCTCTTAGCACACTGCCTAGCATACAAAGGTGATTAAAGCTTGTTGACTGACTGACTGACCAACTCCTTAGCTTGCAATATCCGGCAGCATTCAGGTACTTGATCATCTCTTCTGTTTATGTGCTTACTGAACTTGCTTGTGCTTAGGCCCTTTGAGGTCATATCTCCCTTCTCTGAACCACCCAACTACCAGCTTACCCTGAGTCACCATGGACCATCCCTCTGCTATCCAAGTCTGAATGAAATACATATCAAAGTGCAGAAATACTTGTAAAAGTAACATCAGAACCATTATTATTCATTTTAAAGTCGTGGAGAATTGGATGATGGCCAAAAATAGCAACAGATGACTAATATTCCAATATCCAAAGAGCAAAAAAAAAAGGTAAGTCTTAGAAATTGTTATCTTATAACCTTAACTTTGATCTCAGGCTAAATTCTATGACATATTTTTTAAATTAATTCATTTTGATTTATCAACAATCATTTCCATAAGCTTTTGAATTTTAAATTTTTCTCTCCCTCCCTTTCCACCTCCCTCCCCAAGACAGCATGCCATCTAATATAGGCTATACATATACATTCCTAATAAATATATTTTCACATTAGTCATGTTGTAAGGAAGAATTAGAACAAATAGAAGGAACCACAAGAAAGAGGAAATAAAACAAAACAGAAGAGAAAAAGAGCAAATAGTATGCTTCCATCTGCATTCAAACTCCATGGTTCTTTCTTTGGATGTGTATAGCATTTTCCATCATGAGACTTTTGGAGATGTTTTAGATCCTTTCATTGCTGTGAAGAGCTCAGTCCATCAAAGTTAGTCATCATACAATGTGGCTGTTACTGTTGTACAACAACAATCTCCTGGTTCTGCTCATTTCACTCAGCATCAGTCCATACAAGTCTTTCCAGTTTTTTTGAAGTCCGCCTACTCATTTCTTATAGCACAAAAGTATTCCGTTATATTCATATACCACAGCTTGTTCAATCATTCCCTGATGATGGGCATTCCTTCAATTTCCAATTCTTTGCCACCACAAAAAGAGCTGCAATAACTATTTTTGTACATGTGGGACCTTTACCCATTCCTATAATCTCTTTGGAATACAACCCTAAAAGTGTTATTACTGGGTCAAAGGTATGCACATTTTTATAGCCCTTTGGGCATAGTTCCAAATTGCTCTCCAAAATGGTTGGATCACTTCACAACTCCACCAACAATGCATTAGTATTCCAATTTTCCCACATCTTCTCCAACATTTATTATTTTCCTGTTTTGTTATGTTGGTCAATCTGATAGGTGTGATGTGATACCTCACAGTTGTTTTGATTTGCATTTCTCTAATCAATAGCCATTTAGAGCATTTTTTCATAAGACTATAAATGGCTTTAATTTCTTCATCTGAGAACTGCCTATTCATATCCTTTCACCATTTATCAATTGGGGAATGACTTGTATTCTTATAAATTTGAATCAATTCTCTATGTATTTTAGAAATGAGGCCCTTATCAGAGATACTGGTTGTAAAAATTCTTTCCCAGT